ACCTGGGATGGTATGACGAGCGCCACGTGCTCGCCCTGCATCTGCCTAGGATCCTGCTGAGCCTGGGCTTGGGTCTGTTCAAGTCTATTTCTCTTCCTCTCTGGTTATAACCAACACCAGTGGTGGAAGAGTCGACAGAGAAGAATCAGAGATATATTAATATTCTTATCATTATTTCAGTGTCAGTTGTAAAGCCAGAATTGGAGCCCCTCCCCCAGTAGAGGACCCTTCTGCCCTGCAGAGCCCAGGACCAAGAGCACAGCACACAGACACCGCCGGGTCATTCCCAGCTTCTGCCCTAGCTGTGTGGTGGAGACCACATGCCCCTCTAGGCTGGGCTCCTTCAGGAAGTCTTCCTGGAGGGGCACAGGCTGAAAACAGGAGGGCTTACTGGAGAGCACAAGCTTAAAGCGAGGAGGGATTTCCCAAGATCTCTTTGTTTTATTTTTGACAGTTCCAGGGGAAGGATGCAGGGCCTCAGGCATACACGACATCCACTCTCTTTGGTCCACATGCCCGGCTTCCAAGGGCTTCCTGGGCCAGTTGAGTGGGAAGAGAGCTGTGGGCACTTTCCCTGGAGAAGCACCTGTGGAAAAACTGCCACCTCTGGCCCTTGGGGAAAGCACTCTGGGCCTCTGTGGTTCTGGGTCGACTTTCCCCTTAGATGCAAAATAAAAAGAAAATCAGGGCCAAGCAAGAGAGCGGCCCGGTGCATGGGCTCCTGAGTCAGACTTCAGGATGCGAATCACTTACCAGCTACGTGACTTTGAGCAAGTTCTTAACCTCCTTGCACTTCAGTTTCCTCTGTCTAACGAGGAGGTGGTCACTGAGACACCCCCCTCCTGCGCCGTGGTGAAGTGCATGGACACGAAGAGGCCCCGGCAGGACGCCATAAACTGGAGTGCTGGAGGTGTTGCCTTTCGGAGTGCTGCTGGAGCTGGTTGCTGGGGCAGTTGAAGAGGGAGTTCAGGAAATGGAATCGTCGGAGTCCCTGGGGACCTGGCCGAGTTGCAAGCCCCAGAGCAGCCTTAGGCCTGGAACTAGGGCGCAGAACCCCTCTGGAGTCCTGGGTCCCCCATGACTGGGCCCTGGTGGGCCCATGGAGGCTTCTCTTCCTGGCACTCCCGCCTGACTGCCAGGGCTGGAGCCAGACGTGGGTGTCAGGGTGGCCAATGGCCCAGAGAATGAGGGAGACATGGGTGTCTGTAAACAAGACGCTCTCCTGTGGTAAGCAGGGGACCGCCTCACCCGCTCCAGGTTTGGTGAAACATCTAGACTCTGTGTATGTAGGGGGGTGTGGTTGTGTTTGTGTGTGTGTGTGTGTGTGTGTGTGCGTGTGTACAGAGGGTGGAAGAACAAGGGTACAGAAGAGATTGCAGGCGAGTGTGCAGAAGTGAGCACGTGTTAGTGTGTGTCAGAAGATGTGTGTGGATGCATTTGTATGAGAACATGCGGTGTGTATCAGGGTGACATGAGTGCAGGAACCCCAGCACCCCAATTTCCTGACTGAGATAGACCGAGACACACCCCTTCAGCCTCCTGTGTGCCCTGTGCCTGAGGGGTGTTGAGCCGCACCCTCCTCTCCCCTGTTCTGGTGTGTCCGTGAATCATCATGGTACCATGGTGGGCCCAACCAGAGCCGTACCGGGTTGCAGGCACCTTGGTCTCCTGTATCCCATCCAGGTGTGGGTTCTGCAGTTGATGCTAAAGGCCTGGGCTGCACCCCTGATTCCACCCTGGTGACATTACCCCAGCTACAAGTTTGGGCCCCAGAAGTTTTGCTTCATTTCCTGGCATCTGCTCTGCAGTTGGGGCTGGGGCCCCACTGCACCCCTCTTTGCATGCCTGGTGTCAGCAGGCTTCCTGTACTCTGAAGGCACTTGGGGCTCCAGAGGCGTGTGGGCGACTGGTAGAATTGGGGTCTGGAGAGAGGACATGCCAGAGCAGGCCCACAGGCCCCCGTGTCTGCCAGAGCCTCACACCCACCCAGCCTTGGAACCTTGGAAGCCGAGAACCCAGATCTCTCCCTCCCTGGTGCCTCACCTCCCCTGCTCCCAGCCCGCGATTGAGGGTCTTCTGCTCTCAGAAAGGCAGGGCTGGCATAGGGCAGCCTGGGGGAGCGGAAGCCCTGGGCCTGTCCTCCAAGTAGTTCACCTGTTGATCGGACTAGCAGTGTCTTTTCACCTGGCGACCAGGCCTTGCGGCCGGGCACCAAGATGGCAGCCCTCCTCCAGCTGCTCACCAGTTTTGAGCCCTCTCAGCCTCCCAAGGTGCCACCCAGGCCTGACTCAGACCATACTGGTGGCGCACCAGACAGTGCAGGGCGGTGAGCGCACTCTGCGCAGGTTGGACAGGTGTATGTAGAGTGGAACTCCTCCCTTAGACACCAGCAGGGCCCTGGAACCTTGCGGAGCCCCAGCTTTCTCTTCTGCAAGCTGGGGACTATCCACTGGCACACGGCTGTTGCAGGGACTCAGGAGAGGTGTGCACCAGCTCCAGGCCCGGTGCAATCCGGAGCAGTGGGCATGCGCAAGAGTGCCCCCTGGTTTGTTTCAGGTACCTTGACCCTGCCCCCAAAGAGCTGGGGCTAACTCATCTGGACCCTGGTGTGTCTTGGTACCAGGAAATCTTGTAGATCGGACCAGGGACCAGAGTAGGTGGGGAGACTTTAGTTTTGTTTGCCCTGCTGGGAATTGAACCAAGGCGGGAAGGGGGGGTAGTGGGCGGGGGGGGGGGGGGAGGGGCTCACGTGTAAAAGGCAAATGCTCAATTGTTGAGCTTTGGCCCCAGACCCAAGAGGAGGCTTTTTTGGTTTCATTTTGTTTGAGGGCCACACCCATGGTACCCAGGGCTTACTCCTGGCCCTGTGCTCAGAGAACCACAGTGGGTGCTGGGGATGAAATGCAGGTCAGCCGCAAGACAAGTGCTTTAAATGTACTATCTCCCCCATATTATCTCCCTCCCATTCTATCTCCCTCACATACTATCTCTCCAGCCCTTGTTTGTTTTTTTTTGTGGGGAGGGAGACTCACACCCTACAGTGCTCAGGGGCTGCTACTAGCTCGTGCTTGTGGAGAGGGACCATGTGGGGCCGGGGATGGAGCACGGTCCTCCTGCATGCAGAGCATGCCTTCAGCCCTTTATGCACTCTCTCCAGCCCCAACAGGAAGCATTTTTAAAGCCTAACCAGAAATCGAACCCTAAATCTAAATGTAACCCTAACTCCCCCCAAGTGGAAGAAATTTAATTAAAAAAAACTGAAAAAATTAAGAGATAATCCAGTAGTCTGTGATGCCCCCAAGATCATATACTCTGGTGCCACGAGAGGCCCCCAACAGCAGAGTCCCCCGGTCACTCGGTGCAGGTGGCTCCCAGCTCCTGCTTGCAGGGCAGGCACCTGTGCTGAGCCATCCCCAGGACCCATGAAATGATTCTTCACTCGAGACTCTCCAAACACCTGAGAATGGGAGGCGTTTGGGTAGCGGGGTTTGTTCCTCCTTCCCAAGGACCCCAGGGATGGCGGGCGCAGAGCTCCAGCCAGGCAGCTCTCCCGAGTGCTGTGGGTAATGGTCCAACCCTGCTCATTTTCACATCAGCTGATGGTTGTTGGTCACCTGCTGGCTCCCCAGCCCCAGAGTGTGATTATAAGCAGATGTGGACTCTGCCTACACAGAGGTTACAGGCGAGTGGGGGGAGGGGAGCGCTGGCCCAGCTATGACCCAGGGGCTATGGCACCCAACATGCAGCCTGCTGCCCAATTCTTTTTCCCTTGTCACCCACCTCCTCAAAGCCAGCAGTCAAGCAGCAGCCCACAGGGAACATGGCACTCTGTGGCTAAACCTGGCATCAAGCAGGACCTTCCCCCTCACCTCCCGCAGGGATGTTCACTCCCTCTCAGCTCTGCATCTGGGGGTCTCAAGAGGCCTGGCAGGGGGCTGATTGGTGGAGCTCAGAGAGGAATATGTTAGACCTCAGTGGGGAGGAAAGTGAGGCAACATCGGCTCATGGAACTGTGGGGCTGGTGAAGGCCGGGGGTGGGGAGTTGGTCAGCCCAGAATCCTCTCTTGGTTCTTGAACTTGAAGGGCAAGTTCATTCCCCTCTATGAGTTCTGTTGACTTATCCTAAGAGTGGGGAGCCTTGTGGGGCCAGGAAGGTCGTTCATGTGGGAAGGCGTTATGCTTCGCGAATTTGAAGCCTGGTTCCCCAGCACTGCATGGTCCCAGAGCACCACCAAGAGCCGCCCGTGTGACCCTGTACACCCTAACTCTGGGTACCATGGGACTAAGCCGGGTCTGTCTGATTATCACGTTGCCTCCGTGAGCCCCAAGCCAGGCAGGAAGGGCGAGAATCAGGACTTCGAGCTGACGGCTGCCACGCTGATACTCTTGGTCCTTCTCTGTGTGCTTCGTTTCCCCCAGCCAGCTGTCCCCCTGCAGTTTAGACACCTCTGTGTTGGGTCCCTCTCTGCCCTCCGATAGGCCCTTGGATGGCAGGCGTGGATCTGTCTGCTTGAATTCGTGCCTGCAAACATGGCCTGGGGGCAGGGTGAGGCGGTGCTGTAGGTACCAGAGCCTCCTATGTTGACCCCCATTATGTTGACTGCGGAAGACTTAGAGCCACTTCCTTGTACAGGATATTACATCTGGGTATCCTTTGAAAACAAAGCACTTTAAAAACCTCATCCCAAGAGAGGTAGTACAGCAGATATGGCACTTGCCTTGCATGTGGTGACCGGGGTTGAGTCCCCACCATCCCATATGGTCCCCAAGCCCTGAGCACAGAGCCAGGAATAACCCCTGAACATCGCTGGTCTGACCCAAACACAAACAGTGACCCTGTGAGGCTGGTCCACTCACCTCCACCTTAAGGGAGAGAACAACTCAAAGGAGAGGATGCTGAAGGTCTGCCCCTGCCGGTTCCTCTCCCAGCTGCACTGCTTGTCCCTGCTCTGTTCCCGGGCTCCGCAACGCCATGGCCTCCCATTCTCTCACCCTCGTAGGTTTCCACGTGATCCCCACCATCTCGAGCATCGTCCCCGAGAGCTGCCTGCTGATCGTGGTGGGGCTGCTGGTAGGGGGCCTGATCAAGGGCGTGGGGGAGACCCCGCCCTTCCTGCAGTCGGAAGTCTTCTTCCTCTTCTTGCTGCCGCCCATCATCCTGGACGCGGGCTACTTCCTGCCGCTGCGGCAGTTCACGGAGAACCTGGGCACCATCCTCATCTTCGCCGTGGTGGGCACGCTGTGGAACGCCTTCTTCCTGGGCGGCCTCATGTACGCCGTGTGCCTGGTGGGCGGGGAGCAGATCAACAACATTGGCCTCCTGGAGAACCTGCTCTTCGGCAGCATCATCTCGGCCGTGGACCCCGTGGCCGTGCTGGCCGTCTTCGAGGAAATCCACATCAACGAGCTGCTGCATATCCTGGTCTTCGGGGAGTCCCTGCTCAATGACGCCGTCACTGTGGTGAGGGGGCAGGCCCGTGCCCATGGGCACACGGGGCACATACCTGAATCTGGGTTCCACAGGACCCCCACACTCACCCTCTAATAACTGAAGAGGGACAGCAGGTGTCCATGACCGCTCACCGCGTGCTGAGCCCCCCTGACACTCTCCTCTCCTGTAAACCCCAGGACCACCCCAGTGGTTCCTTGTTAGTCTCACTCTCCAGAGGAGGATCAGGCTTAGGGGAGTTAAGCACTTGCTGGACTCACAGAACCAGGTGAGGATCGAAGTTCCACTGGCTCACGGGCCCAGGCTTGTGACTTCACCAGGTCACATACTTCTTCCCCATTTTTTGCTGTGATGTGATCTTGGTTTACAATATGTACCCTCTCTGGGCCTCCGTTTACCCTCTTATGGAAGTTTGTCCTGAGGGTCATGTTGGGTTTGTTTTGTACATTTGTACGGGCAGCAATCACAGAAAGGGATCTTGCCTCCAAAATTTCCGGGGAGTGATCAGTGAAAGGGGTTAGGCCACTCGCTTACTGGGTGACCTAAGGCAAGTGACTGGGCCTCTCTGGCCCTTGCTCCCAGCCAGCTCCTTCCGGGAGCACGGGGCCTCCAGCCCTGTTGATGCTCGTGCTGCCCCTCCCCCTCCTCATGGAGAAGAGACCAGCAGGACGGTCAGCTGCTGTGGTCTTGGCTGCTTCTCCCTCTGCTCTCCTGCCCCCAGGTTGGCCCCGGGTGGCTGGACGAGGCCACAGCTTGGCCTGACCCTAATCTCCGAGCCAGCGTCTGTCCCTTTGAGCCTGAGATTGTGGCACACAGCAGTCACCCTCCTGGATTCCTGCTGGCCTTGCTCTCATGGAGGGGCTGGAGCGATAGCACAGCGGGCAGGGCGTTTCCCTTGCATGCAGCTGACCCAGGTTTGATTCCCAGCATCCCCTAGGGTCCCCTGAGCACCGCCAAGAGTAATTCCTGAGTGCAGAGCCAGGAGTAATCTCAATGCATCGCTGGGTATGACCCAAAAAGAAAAAAAAAAAAAAGGAAAAAAAATAAAAGACTCCATGGAACGACCAAGTGGCCCCCTGGATCTGAGAGTTAGGGTTCAGGCTGGGGCTCCGGGGACAGCGGGTCGAGCAGCCAGCCAGCCACGACTTGCCCTCAGGTGTTGCTGATCTTGCACCAGCTCCCCACAGGCTGGTCACCCCCAGTTTTCCCAGGCGAGAAGCCTGAGAGCCCGCCATGAGTTAAGTGTGTGAGTCATCCGAGGTCCCATTCCGTGATGGCAATGTCGCCGGGGTTGACTCGGGGCCTGGTGCTGACCACTGTGTCCCCCATTCTGCTCCGCTGGCCCGGGCCAAGAGCAGCACTGTGGGGGCCAGGCCCCATCCCTCGGCTACCCTGGTCCAGGCAGCATGGGTGGCCAGTGTCCGCCTCCCCTTCTTTCCAGCGCTCCAGCCGCAGGTGTGAGCACTGCAGCCTACACAGGACGGCAGGGGCAGCCCCACCCACACTCTCCCGGCCCCTGGGGCAGCCCTGTCACAGAGTCTCCTGGGCCCCCTCCCAGGGAGGGTGGTGGTACCACTGGGCCTCACAGTGGCCTCTAAGGGGAGATGGAATCTCAGACTGAGCCCACCTTGAGGTTCCTCTGCTGTCAGCGCCCCCTCCCCCCAGCCCCGTCCTGCTGCTCCTGGGCAGGGGTCCCTAGCTGGCAGGTGCCATAGCACCCCGGCACCCTGTGTTGGCTCAACTCAGCCAGGCAGGCTGCTGCATAAAAGCAGGAGGCGCTGGGCCAGGGCACCCCAATCTGCTAGCAGTGTTCCCCGATGCATCTCGTGCCAGTCCAGGTGCCCCCAAGGGCCTCCAGGCCCCCAATACCCACCTGGCTGCTCCTGGCGGCCCCTGGGACTGGGATGGAGGTTTCTAGGTCCCACTTCCAGAGTCTGGGGTCGGGGGTGCAGACTGGCCGTATACATTCCCAAGAAGCTTCCGTGGTAAAGAAGCCCCATTCAAGCCCATGGTTCGGCTTCTCCCTGCTCAAAGCTGAGACCCAGAGAGAGGTGCTCTGCCCAGGGTCATGGGGGAGAGGCTGGCATGACCAGGGGCCCAGTTCTCAGCACTGCACCTTGGAGAACTGATTTAATAACCACTCCAGGAGCTCGGCACCCTCTTCCTCGCCTTATGGATGAGACGGGAGTGGGAGTGCTTACCCCAGTGTTTGGCTTAGGCATGGCGGGGCCCCAATTCCAACCCAGGCCTGCATGGGGGGTCTGGCAGACCTGCCTGGGGTCCTTCTGCTCCCTCATGGCCTCTGTGGCCAGGTTCCGGGAAGGGGTGGGCCAGGGCCAGGGCCCGTGCTCCCACCCACCAGCCTGTACTCCCTCCCAGGTCCTGTATCACCTCTTCGAGGAGTTTGCCAGCTACGACCACGTGGGCATCGTGGACATTGTCTTAGGCTTCCTGAGCTTCTTCGTGGTGGCCCTGGGCGGGGTGTTTGTGGGCGTGGTCTACGGGGTCATCGCCGCCTTCACCTCCCGGTTCACCAACCACATCCGCGTCATCGAGCCGCTCTTCGTCTTCCTCTACAGCTACATGGCGTACCTGTCTGCTGAGCTCTTCCACCTGTCAGGCATCATGGCGTGAGTCTGGGGCCCCAGGGATGATACCCCTGCACCAGGTCCCCAACCCTGGGACTGCCCCTCAAAGCCACTGACTTGACAGCTTGGGGGTGTCTTGACCCTACCACCCTCTCCCTCCACCAGTCTCAGAGGGGTCCTTGGCTGGAGCTGAGCACAGATTCTCGAGCCTGCCAGCTGAGGGTAGCAGGTGTCCTGGAGAGGGGAGCTGGTTCCCAAAGGGTAAAGGAGGGCTAAATGGTGACTTGGGGTGGCGATGACCCCAGCAGGAGCAGGCCCAGATGTGGGCACCTTCCTGTGGAGACCCCGGGACTGTGGATGAATAGAACAGAGGATGAACACTGTACCACCCCTGCGATTCCACAGTTCCCTCTCTAACCCCCGCCCCCACCCCGCCCTGAGTTCTTGTCTGCTCTCCACTCCTGGCTGATGTCCTGGTGGGCAGAAGACTCACTTTGTCCTGGTCTCAGTTCTCTCTTCTGAACCACACAAGCTCATACCTGTGACCGCAGGGCAACTGTGAGCACCATGGCAGGACAAGGGCAGGCGTTGGACCCCCAGGGTCAGCCCAGCAAAGGGTTGTAGTTCTGCTTGGAACCCTGAACCCTCTCCCCCCCACCCCCCAGACTTATTGCCTCGGGCGTGGTGATGCGCCCCTATGTGGAGGCCAACATCTCCCACAAGTCCCACACGACCATCAAGTATTTCCTGAAGATGTGGAGCAGCGTCAGTGAGACCCTCATTTTCATCTTCCTCGGCGTCTCCACTGTGGCCGGCTCCCACCACTGGAACTGGACCTTCGTCATCAGCACCCTGCTCTTCTGTCTCATTGCACGCGTGCTGGGTAAGAGCGTGTGTGTTTGTGTATGTGTGTGTGTGTGCGTGCAGGTCGTCTGTGCAGCGTGCACATGTATGCATCTGTGTTTTACATTTAGTGTGTGTGTGCATGTGCTCGTCATGTCATGTGTGCTTATATGTCTGTGTGTGTGCGCCTATGTGTGTGTGTGCCTGCTATCTGGGACACTTGCCAAACCGCACCCCTGCAAACCTGTCCTGCACAGGTCCTTGCTCTCAAGTTCCACTCACTCTGCAGGTGCACCTCACCCCTGCCCGGTGTCTCCCCACCTTGGCGGCCATGACTGGTGGTGTTCATGGGGCTGGGGCAATCATGGGTAGGGCAATTTGCCTTGCATGTGGCTGATCCAGGTTCAATCCCTGGGACTTCATGTTGTCCCCTGAGAACCGCTTGGTATGGTTCTAAACATGAAAACAAACAAATAAAACTCCTGTGGCTCTGTGCTCAGAGCTTGTTCCTGGCAGTGCTCTGGGGACCCAGAGCTGCTGGGATCAAGCCCAGGTTTCCTGCATGCAAAGCAGGACTCAACCCATTGAGCTCCCTCCGACCCCTTGGTGTTGTTTAAACACCCTTTACCTGTGCCTGTTCTCATGAGGTTCAGTCTCGGGCGTGGGGGTTGGATCCAGGATCAACTTTTTTGTTGGTGTTGCAGGGCTGGGGATCGAACCCAGGGCCTTGCACATGCAGAGCCAGGCCTCTACAGTCTTAACTAGCTCTCTGCACTGGGAAGCTAGCCCCTGTGCACCCATCCTGTGGCATGGGTGTCACTGTGGCCTGTCTTATTTCATCTTTTCTCCCACTGCACTCCCAGCCTCTAGCCTGTGAGGCCTCCAAGGTCCATTCAGGTTTGGGCAACCCCTGAAGGATTCCCCGAGCTCTTGCTTTGAGGGGCTAACAGGTCCTGGTCTGAGGGCTCCAGGAAGTGAGTCTGGCTGGTGTAATCCTGGAAGCTGAGGCTCAGGGGAACTGGGGATAACTTGACATCTCTTTTCATTTTTGTTTTGTTACCGCTCCTGGGGGTGGGGGAGGGGCTGGAGTGATAGCACAGCAGGGAGGGGTTTGCCTTGCACACGCCCCAGGTTTGAATTGACCCAGGTTTGATTCCTCTGCCCCTCTCAGAGAGCCCAGCAAACTACCGAGAGTATCTTGCCCGCATGGCAAAGCCTGGCAAGCTACCCATGATGTATTCGATATGCCAAAAACAGTAACAAGTCTCACAATTTGTTGTGAGACGTTACTGGTGCCCACTTGAGCAAATCGAAGAACAACGGGAGGACAGTGCTACAGTGCTACTGTTCCGGGGACCAACCCCCTGGGGACTGAGCTGGGTCCCCCACCCCCACCCCTCTGCCCCTGGATCCCAGCCCTGAGCTGTTTCTCTCCCATGACCCACAGGTGTGCTGGGCCTCACCTGGTTCATCAACAAGTTCCGCATCGTGAAGCTCACACCCAAGGACCAGTTCATCATCGCCTACGGGGGCCTGCGCGGGGCCATCGCCTTCTCTCTGGGCTACCTCCTGGACAAGAAGCACTTCCCCATGTGTGACCTCTTCCTCACCGCCATCATCACCGTCATCTTCTTCACCGTCTTTGTGCAGGTGCTGGCCAGGGACCCCGCCTCTCCGTCACTCAAGAGAGCCCCTTTGCTTTGTCCCAGGGCGAGTTACTTCTTCCTCCAGGTCCTCAGTTTCCTCAGCTGTGAGGGAGGGTTGTGACAAGGGTCAGTGCTCAGCAACCCCGGGAATGTATGGCACCTTGGCTGCCGTGCGACGTCAGTGGGAAGGCGGGTGGTCTCCAGAGAAGTGGACCCGGAACAGGCCCGGATGCACATGTGGAGGGGTCTTAGGGAGGCGATTGACTATCTCAGGCACCCACATCCTGCATACTCGCCGACCTGGGCCTGCTGCCGACTGTCCCCCAAAAGGCCTCCTCCACCAGGGTCTCTGCTGCCCCCTGGGAAGTGAGGGGTTTGTGCCAGATGATACCTGGGCATCCTCCTGCCTTCTGCTCAGTGATGTCCGTGCTGAGACACAGGCTTAGCTGTGAGCTCATTCCCTTCCCTCGGGCCCCCCACCCCTGACTGGGACCTCGGGTGAGGCAATGGTCTGGGCCTCTGCTCCCCTCTCCCCCGTCCCCTCTCCCGGACCCCAGTGGGGATCATGGCTGTTTCAGGAAAAAGGAAGGTGACAGAGCCACCCCGGTGGGGCTGCCGCTTTGGTCCTCTTGTCGCTGTCAAAACTGTCCTCACCCGGGTGTGTGCTCAGGGCCTCTCTGTGAAGCAGCACTGGGCTGGGGTTTGGCACCCATTTGGATCCACCCCTCAGCCTCTGAGAGAACTTAGAAGGCCGCTGAGCACACCGGGCTCCTCCCTGTGGGGGGGAATGAAAGAGCCTCCTGCATGGTCTGGGGGTACAGACCGCCTCCGGCGGGGCCACACTCAGACCAGGGTCCAGTGACAGTGTGGGAGGTGTTCCACTCTCCAGCCTCTGGCTGTGTCTGGCTTTATGGGGGTGGAGGGTTTGGGGCCCTCAGCAGAGAGCACCACGGTTTTGGGGGCTCTGGGGGAGGGAGAGGCTCAGTGGTCCCCCTGCCAGGCTCACAGGGGGACTCTCCCTTCCCCTCCAGGGCATGACCATCCGGCCTCTGGTAGACCTGCTGGCTGTGAAGAAAAAGCAGGAGACGAAGCGTTCCATCAATGAGGAGATCCACACCCAGGTACTGGAAGCCGAGGCCGGGCCCTGGGTGCGGAAGAGGTTTTGGGGGCCAGGAGCAGCTAGACCCACCCCTTGCCTAGTGCTTGCACTCCTGCCAGGTACTCCTGCATCTCTGAGGGGCCCAGTCACCCTGTAGGCAGGTGTGGTGACTAGCCGTGAGCCCGAGGAGGGGCATCATGGGAGAAACTCAGGCCTCAGACACAGACCATTCCAGGTGGGGGTCTTAGTGACAGAGGATTTAAGAGGCCCAGAGCTGCTGCAAGGGGTTCAGGATGTGTGAGGTGCAGGCGCCACCTCCTGGCAACTCTTAAAACTGCAGGGCTGGGCTTAGCAGAGGGGTAGCCAAGAGGACTGGGAAGCGGGAGGGCCTGCTCAGAGGTCTTGGTGGGGAAGGAGCCCAACAGTGAGGCTTGACCTGGCCTTGGGCCCGTTTCAGTTCCTGGACCACCTTCTGACAGGCATTGAGGACATCTGTGGCCACTACGGCCACCACCACTGGAAGGACAAGTAGGTGGCAGGCCTGGTGGGCAGGTGGGTGGGGAGGGGTAGGGGGGCATCTCCCGGGTCGGGACCTCTCCGCAGCCCCTGGGCCCGGCTCCATCGGCTCATTCCTCTTCCCACCAGGCTCAACCGCTTCAACAAGAAGTACGTGAAGAAGTGCCTGATCGCGGGCGAGCGGTCCAAGGAGCCCCAGCTCATCGCCTTCTACCACAAGATGGAGATGAAGCAGGCCATCGAGCTGGTGGAGAGCGGGGGCATGGGCAAGCTGCCCTCCGCCGTGTCCACCGTCTCCATGCAGTGAGTGCTTGCCGGGAACAGAGCCTCTCCTTCATGCTGTGTCAGGCTGCAGCCCTGAGCCCACCCGCCAGGCCACCCAGCCCCCTGCCGCAACCTCCTCCTGGCCCAGCCCACAGTCTCCGGGCTCCAGGCACTGACCCTAGGCCTGTTTGTCCCAGGAACATCCACCCCAAGGCCCTGCCTGCCGAGCGCATCCTGCCGGCTCTGTCCAAGGACAAGGAAGAGGAGATCCGCAAGATCCTCCGGAACAACTTGCAGAAGACCAGGCAGCGGGTGAGGCTCCTGCCCGCGTCCCCGGCAGCCTTCCGTTCCCCTCTGCACCCTCTGCCCCGTCCTCACGGCTTCTCTTCCCACAGCTGCGCTCCTACAACAGACACACGCTGGTGGCAGACCCCTACGAGGAGGCCTGGAACCAGATGCTGATCCGGAGACAGAAGGTCCGGCAGCTGGAGCAGAAGGTGAGTCGGAGCCCGGGCGGCACGCGCTGGCGCCTCTCGGGGATGTGGCTTCTCCTCTCGTACCCCACTCCCCGGGGTCCCTGACAAGTGGAGCCTCTCTGATCGGGTTTTGAAGACCCAGAGCCAGGGCCAGTTGCAGAAAACCTCCCCCTCGCCCCTGAGCTCCGAGGAGGCGAGGCCTCTGCAGGCATGAGGTAGACTTTGTCCATGACTCCGTCTCCCCCCATGACGGCTTTCTCCACTCTCTGGTGAGGAAACCCAGGCTGAGAGGCATGGGTGAGGGGCAGGGAGCTTAACCAAAGTCTCCAAGCAAGACACATGCTTTGCTGGGGAAACATGGCCAGCTGCAGAGGCCTCTGTGGACCTGCCTGGGTGGTGGTGGAACAGGCCGCAGGGAGGCTCGGGATGAAGAGCGCAGATGGAGGTGCCAGAAATGGGAGGCGCCACTTCCCAGGAGGCGACTGAAGGGACACTGAGGAGGGGGACGGAGCCCTCAGGCCCGGGCACTTGTTTGAAGGGGGCTAAGGAATGAGGGAAAGGAAGCCATACATGTCCAGCCTCTGACTGGCTCACTGGTGGGGTGTCGGGGGGACACCTCTGAAAGGAGGAGGCTTTGAGTCCTTCTGATTACACGAGGTCAGCAGGGCCCTGGTCATACACATGGAGTTGGCTTTGGCGGGCACGTGTGGGCTAGAGCAGGAGATAGGCTGCCTGGACTAAGCCTTCAGCATCCCCCCAAAGCGCCTGGAGGTCACTGGTGCTGCCGGGCCAAGGGCCTAAAAGGAGCCACCACAGAAGGACTCACCTGCTTTCTGCTCCCTCAGATCAACAACTACCTGACGGTGCCCGCCCACAAGCTGGACTCACCCACCATGTCCCGCGCCCGCATCGGCTCAGGTGAGGGGAGGCAGGGGCCCGGAGGTGGGGTGCTGTGTGCCCCTGCGATGAGCCCCCCCCACCCTGCTTCAGACTCCTCCGAGCCACATGCTTCTCCTGCTTCCGCTGGGCTGGGAGATTGGCGCTCCCACGCGAGAGCTAAGGGGGCCAGGGGCTGGCAGTACCCTGAGCAGGGCAGCTTTTCCTGGGCCTGGGGCCAAGAGCAGGCTCAGGTGACTCAGGACGGCATCCATGGGGACCCCCCAGCGTGCGGAGAGGAGGCCCCTTCGCAGGGACCCTGGTGAAGTCTCAAGTCAGGTGGCTCATTCCCAGGAAGATTCTGTGGGGGTGCTGGCAGCCGCCAGCTCAGCCGTGCTCTTGCTCCACAGACCCCCTGGCCTATGAGCCGAAGGCTGACCTGCCCGTCATCACCATCGACCCGGCCTCGCCGCAGTCGCCCGAGTCTGTGGACCTGGTGAACGAGGAACTGAAGGGCAAGATCTTGGGGCTGGGCCGGGACCCGGTCAGACTGACGGAGGAGGACGAGGATGAGGACGGGGGCATCATGATCCGGTCCAAGGATACCTCCTCCCCCGGCACCGATGATGTCTTCACGCCCGGGCCCAGCGACAGCCCCAGCTCCCTGAGGATACAGCGCTGCCTCAGCGACCCTGGCCCACACCCTGACCCTGGGGAGGGCGAGCCTTTCATCCCCAAGGGCCAGTAGCGCCAGGAGCGCGGGTGGTGGCCGGCCCGCAGAGACTCTCCCACCAGAGCCAGAGCTGCTGGAGGGGGCGGGGTGGGGGGGTCCCTCGACCTTCGTCCCCTGGCCTGGCCCCACCCGTCCCGACTGCATGGCCCCCCGGGCCCACTGCCCCAGCCCCACGCAGCACGGCTTCCCCGGCCTCCCCCTGGGCAGATTGGCGGGGCTGGTGAAGCCCCCCGGGGCTGGCTCTGAGCGCCCTGCGCCTCAGCCACACCCCCTGCCCCATCTCCCCCTCCTCCTCCAAAACCAATCTTCATTTTAACCAAAGAGCCTTGGCTCAGCCTTGGGCCTGGCTGGGAAAGGAAGGATTCGTGGGGGGGGGGGGGGGGGGGGGGAGGGGGGGCCTCCCTGACCGGGAGCACTAGACTGAGGGGGGAGCGGTGACCCTTCTCCTGCCAGCTCTGTCCCCCTGGCCAGCCACCCGGCCCGTCCTTCCTCAGAGCCGCGGGCTGAGCACCTCTCTGAGCCGCCCTGTCTGGAGCTGGGGCACTCTGGACAGTGCCGTGCTCAGAGCTTCCCAACGGGACCACCCTCGGGGCTGCTGCTGGGGGAGGCCCCCGGGCTGGGACAGCGCTGCCTTTTCTCTGTTGGGTTTGTCCACGCCTACCCGGGACTCCCCGCACACGGGGGGTTCCTGTTTGAAACACCCCTCCCCCCAGCTGAGCAGAGCTCTGGCGCCCCCACCCCGTACCCACACATCCCTTCTTTGTGTCCCCATCTCTCCCACATGCGCTGCCCCCACACCCTCACCCCTGCTTCCAGGTTCTCCCCAGGCTCTGACAGCAGAAATGAGCCCCTCCTGGCTCCAATCATGATTCTGACTGGCAGACGCTGGGCCCTCCGGAGCCTTTCTGTGCTCTGAGGCCTGACCTCAGTTCCCGCTGGTCTGTTCTTCCCGTCCCTCTCATTGGGAACCCCGGAACCTCCATTTCACAGGCAGCGCCCCCGGCTTGCTGTGGAACCCGGTGCTCGGGGGAGAAGGCCTCTGCTGAGAGCAGCCAGAGTCCTGGGCCCCCCACAAGCACACACTCGCAGCCCCACTGCCGCCGAGGCCAGGCCCAGGCCTGCTAGCGTCTGTCCTCCCGCTGGGGCACCCCCCTCCCCCAGGATCGTGCAATAGTCGAGTCCCTCCTCCCAGCAGACCGGGCAGCAGGTGCTCCTCTGTCCCCCCACCCCCACCCCACTCCATGCAACTGCTGTTTGGGGCAGGAGTCACCCTGCAAAGGTGACGTTGACAACCACAGTCAAAGCCACCACAGCCGCTGCTGCTCTGCCGCCTGTACAGAAGAAACCGAATCTTTTTCATATTCTAATAAATCCGTGTGAGTTTTTTATAAGAGTCAGGGCTGCTTCACTGGGGGCCCCGGGATCTGGGAGACGAGGCTGGCCAGGGACCTGAAGATCTTTGCTTGGTGGCAAGCGCTAAGAAATGCCTAAGCCCTGCCCACTGCTGGCTGGTTAGTCCTGTGTGCCAGCCACGGGGATAGAGGGGTGAGCGAAGCAGGGCCACCCACCCTGCATTGCCCTGGCCCAGGAATAGTGTGGTCACATTCGTGAATGAAAGGTTGGATGTGGGGGTAGGGGGATGGATGTTCCCCACGAGAGGACTGGTGAAGAAATGGAACTTAGCCGGGTGAAGGTGGGGTCAGATCACCCAAATATTCTCACTGCGAGCTGCACCTGGGAACATTCTGGAATCTGAGAAAAGGCTGAGGGGCTGGGATGGGGTGACACAAGGAGAGGCAAGGATGGGACCTTGGGGTGGAGAAAGGAGATCTCAACAGATTCAGCGTGGAGTGCTTTCTTTGCATATGGGGGACCCGGGTTTGAGCCCCAGCGCCCCCTGATTTCCCAGCACCAATGGGTATGGTACAAAAGCAAAAAAATGGGAGCTTGTGGTGAAGTAACAATTGACCTGAGTGCACTCTGCCACCTGGGTGCAACGCATCAGCCCTTCTTGAAATGCTCCCTTGCTGGTGTCTGTCAGGGCAGGTTCCTGGGTGCGTTTCTGAAATCTGACACCAGAGGGCGTTTGGCCCACCCTGCCCATCCCTGTGTCCTCACAGAATTCAACTGAGGCACTGTCCAGAGGGTGGGCAGAGGACATACCTGGGATGGCATCCAGGATGGACCCGCAGGAAGCCTAACGGCGTGAGAGGAGGGAGCTGTGTCCATGGCAGGGGTTTGGGCCAGAGTTGTGCCACAGGGGCCAGACACGGCCCTGCCAGGCTGAAAGACATAAGGCAAAAGTCTTGCTTCTGTGATCCCATGGTGCCTCCCTGTTGGCACCGTTAACTGAAAGCAGAAGGGAAGGTGCCTGCACATCCCAGTCCCTGCAGGTGGAAAGGAGTTTGCGGGGGACAGGTCATCCTGCAGGGCTGATTCTACTGTGTCCAACATCCACCCTGTCCCTCAGATAAAAAATGTGTGTCCCGCCTTGGGATGTGACCCAGGGGTACAGCATGTGCCTGTCTCATACGAGTTTGAGCCCCAAACTTTCTGGCCCCCCCTAAGCACTGCCAGGTGTGGGCACCAACACCACAACTTTAAAAAACAACGAATTTCCCTATTAATAGTTGCAACATTTGGGGTGATGAAAAAAAGGTTTGGAAATAGTTCCTGGTGATGTTTATACAACATTATGAATGTATCTGATGCTGCTGACGGCTCTCTTTTAGATGCTTGGAGTTTGAAGTCCCTGCTGCAGCAATATTGGCTGGTACCGGGGAAGGGGTACGAAAAAAAAAAAAGATTTGCGTTTATTATGTGAATGTTACCTCGATTTTTCTTTTTCAAGTCCATCCCCAGCCGTGGACAGTCTCATCAGCCACCCCATCTTGCCATCAGTCATCCTCACCCGTTCCAAACTTAGAACATCAGTCCTCAGCAGGGTTCTCTCAAAGAGACAGCAGGGGTGGGGGCGTGGGGGGAGAGTAGACAATAAACAGCTGCCACGGCCCCTTCTGAAGTTGGGCACAGGCCTCGACAAGCAATCACGGCGCCTCTTCCTCCCCAGCACGTCCTCACTCCAGCTGCCAACACTTGGGCTGATGGAGCTCCTTGCATACTGAGCTGTCCCAAGTTTCATTCCTGTGCAGATTCAGGTTTGCTGTTGTTGGGTTTGAGGCTGCACCGGGTAGCGTTTGGAAGGCTACTTATTTCTCAGTCCTCAGGGCTCAATCCGGGCAGTGCTCAGGGGACCCCATGGTACTAAGGACCAAATCCAGGCCTCCCGCGCTCAGAGTGCTAAGCTCAGTCCTTGGCACTGTCTCCCCAGCCAGCAGCTCAGGTTGACACTGAGATCGAAAATCCCCACTACCATTATTGGGCATGGGACATCTAAGAAGTGCCCAGTGCATCCTCTGGATCTGGGCCACAATCGCTCTGCCTCATTTCTGCTTTCCTCCTGGAAATCTACATCAGATATCCTATGTGGCTCAGTTGCCCCGTCTCTGTCACTTGGTTAAGCAAAATAAAATAAAAATAACAATTGTGAGATGAGGGACCTTATTGAACACCCCCACTCCCCCAAATCTGTTTTAGAGCCTTGCCTAGCAGAAGACAGATTCTGAAATCTGCATTGGCATTCTCTCTGTTGTTCAACTCGTGATGCCTCTGGAAAATTCTGCTCTACACTTATGAAAGAATGAGAATGTCTTGGCATTAATATGAAAATAGGATTTGATCTCACAGAATCCTTAAAAGTGTTTTGGGGATCCCAGGAATCTTGTACCCACACTTTGAGAACCATGGCCCTGGACATGGCCCCAGACAGGAAATCCAGTCTGGTCTTTGCAACCGGCAGCTAGGGTATGCCACAGTACCGGGTACTAGACCAGACCTGGTGAGGGAAGTACACTGAGCATGAACATGTTCACTTGCAGTCAGAATGATAGTACAGCTGGTAGGGCCCTGGCCTTGCGCTCTGCTGATTCAGTTTCAATCTCTGGTACCACTTATGGTCCCCCAAGCCTATCAGGAGTGATCCCTGAGCATGACCAGGAGCAAGCCCTGAGCATGGCCAGATGTGCCCCAAAGTGCCCTCCCCCCCCCAAAAAAAAAGGTAAAATTGTGGGTCAGAAAGATAGTAGAGTGGATGTGGCCCACCTGGGTTTGATCCCCAGCATCCCATTATGGTCCCCGGGGTCCTGTGAATGGAGCCAAGAGTTAAGCACTGAGCACCGCGAGGTGTGGCCCCCAAATAAAACAAATAAATGTTCATTTGCTAGTATGTAATAGTGGCCACAAAATTAGGAGCTTAATGTGAATTTCTTCTCTCGGTTCCACAAGTCAGATCCTGAAACAAATCTCAGACTCAGCAAGGTCGCCTTCCTTTTGGGGTCCCTTAGAGACTTTCTCTGGCCTTTGCCAGTACAAGATGCAGCTTCACCCCTGACTTGCACAGATCCTTCCCTCCTAAAAACCAGCATGGTCCAATGACACACCTCTTATCACTGACTGCCCCCCACATAAAGACCCCATGCTGGAGCGATAGCACAGCGGGTAGGGCATTTGCCTTGCACACGGCCAACCCGGGTTCAATTCTCAGCATCCCATATGGTCCCCCGAGCACGGCCAGGAGTAATTCCTGAGTGCAGAGCCAGGAGTAACCCCTGAGCATTGCCGGGTGTGACCTAAAATGCAATAAATAAATAAATAAGAAATCCAGAGCTTCCTAGTCCCCTCCCTGCCCTGTGGCCGCAGTGATGCAGGGGTTTTACCCCTCCCCATGGCCGCAGTGATGCAGGGGTTGCTACCCTCCCTGTGGCGACAGTGATGCAGGTTTGCACCCCTGGTCTAGGAGCTCCAGCACTCCCCTCTCAGTCGCAAGCTTGCTGCAGTTCAGCCTTGAACTGAGATTCTCACACACAGCCTGTGGGGCTGTTGTGAAGACCAGGAGTCACACGTTTAGTTGTGGTACGGGGGATTACTTTTAGCAAGGATCCAGCCCTTAGCCTCAGACCTGCAAGGGAGGCGCCCTACCCGGAGCTGTTCCCTCCCCACCTCCATATTCTCAGTCTTAGTCTGAATCCATCTGCAGCTTTGGTTCTCTCTGGACTGTGTTCCCGGGTCCCCAGGTCATGTGGACTGTCATCTACTTCCATACTATGACCAGGCCCTTATCCCTGACTCTGTAGGCAGGATTCAGGGATCTAGGAAGAAGTTAGCATCTCAATATGTCCTTCAGTCCCCAGCTTCTCAAACTGTGGGTCGTG